TTTTGAAAAAAGTCTTTTGACACTTTGTTTTCTCTTACCACATGTGTACAATCTATATTTCCCTGAAGTGTCCGGGGCTACCCGACTCTGCCCTATTCTATTTATTATCAAATATAGGTAGGCGCCATTTTTTTCACCTTTTTCACAGTTTATTTTTGAATTGATTTTTTTATTTATAATTTAAGAATGAATGTGTTGAAACACTTGCGACATTTAAAAGAAAGTGATCCTGGCTTCGAAAATATTAATTTGAACACTTCTCTACCAGATACTCCGATGAGTACAACATTGGGTGCAACAACTATCTTCGTGAGTATATAAAAAATATTTGGTAAAAATGTTTGATTTGGTGGATCTAGGGTTATGGCATAAATATAATACAAATTTTATTCAAAATTGTTATTTTTATTGGGCTACCATGGAATGTATAAGAACTATAATTCCATTTGGCCAATGATCATATGTTTAAAAACATATTGCCAATCATTATTATGATTCATTTGATTTAGGTTTTTTAAACATATGATCATTTGGCCAATGATCATATGTTTAAAAAATCTAAATCAAATGAAATCATAAGATTTTTTGAATTTCATCCTATTCAAGATTTGAATAAATCTGAAACACCGCTATTCAATCATAAACGAACTTTTTATTGACCAGATGGTAGTTTACGTTATTGGCTTACATACTGCAAAAAAACACAATATTTTTATTGCTCAGTATGTTTGACTTTTGCTAAAAGTACTGATGAAAGTAAGTTTATTACCGGAATGAATGATTTCAAACACCTATATTGTCGAATTAATGAGCACGAAAATAGTAAAAACCACTTTTATTGTGCTGATACATACATGATGCAAAAAAAAGAAACGAGTAATTAATGTTTTACTGTGTAAAAAGCAATTATCTAAAAGAGTACAAGAAGTTGAACATCGTAGAATGATCTTTAAACGAATTACAGATGTTATCAAGTTAATCGGGAAACGTGGCTTAAGCACTCGAGGTGAATATGAATCAGCTAAAGACCTAGCCAATGTCAATGTTAATCATGGAGATTTTCTAGATATATTAGTACTGTTGGCTAAATATGATGCACCACTGGATGAACATATCAAGTCAGTAATAAAAAAAAGCAAAGAACAACCAAACTAGTGGAAGAAGTCAATATATAACTCTCCTTACAAAAATAACAGTTAACAATGTCATTAAGTCAATTTTTATACTTATTAAAAAACAAATCAGTGAAGATATCATAAAATCTGGTATGTATTCAATTCAAATTGATACTACCCAAGATGTTTCAGTCCCTGACATATGTTCAGTGATAGTAAGATATGTTTCTTCAGAATATAAAACTGCGGTAGAGTCTACTATACATGAAAGAGTATTATCGTTTTAAAATCCAAAAAAACTTCTGGTCAAGCATTATGTGATTTGGTGTCAAATAATTTATCTGAAAATATGATAGATGTAAAAAAATGTGTTGGTTCTTCTACAGATGGGTCATCAAATATGAATGGACAATATAATGGTTTTTCTAAATGGTTAGAAAAAGAGTGTCCAAGTCAACTTCATGTGTGGTGTTATGCACATTGTCTTAATTTGGTTCATGGAAGCTACGGCGGTTTCAACTCCAGCTGTATCTTTGTTTGGTCTGTTAAATAGTTGTGCTGTATTTTTTAGAGACTCATACAAACGAATGGACTTATGACGTGATATAACAACAGGTTTTCAAGTGTTAAACCTATTTGAACAAACAAGATGGTGGGCTAAAGATCATGCATTAAAAAAGATGTTTGGTTTGTTTAAAGAACCGTCTAACTCGTTGTATGTAACAAATGAAGATTTCAATAATGATTGTAGATGTACTGCAACAATGTTATTACAGTCTCTTATAAAGTTTGAAGCAATTCTTACTGCACAGTTATATCTGAAAATATTTCAGCAAACAACACCATTATCTAAGTACTTGTAGACGAACGGCTTGTATATTTTGGAAGCTCAACAGATGGTAAATTCAACGTTAGAGTGTCTAAGAAGTAAAGCTAGAAATTTTGAAGATGTTTTAATAGCTGCTAAAAGTTTTGTTTCTTGGGCTAGTGATTTGATTGAAATTGAAAATGATATTGATGTTGTTATTGAAGATTCTCTTCCAAATGCACGTGTACGTGTAAGGAAAACAATGGATGGTGAAAATAGTAACAATAATGCAAATTATGCAGCTATTGATTTATACAAATTTAATGTTTATAACACAGCTATGGATAGAGTTATTTCTAAACTTGAGCAACGTTTTGCTAAACATTCAGAAATATGCTCAGATTTTTCTTCTTTAGATCCTCGTCAATTTTCAAAAAAATTACCAAAAAATGCTCTTTTTAAAATTTGTAAAGTACTTGGTTTTGAAAATTCTACGGTTTCAAGAGATGAGATTTTATTAAAAAATGTGATAAACTTAAATTAAATTTACCTGAAGTTTATGCAAGTTATAACCCAAATGAAGACACTGAGCTACCAAAGTTACATTTGGAAGAAAATAAAATTGAACAAAAAAACGTGTCTACGGAACCGTTTATTACTTGACAATTTGGATGCTTGGATCTTAATGAATTTAAATAAAGTTATTTTAGAAAAATTAACACACGATAACATAATTGATGAAGTTGTAAAACATAGTTCTTTACTAAAAAAAGTTTTAATAGTTTAGATTATTATACCTCATTAGTTATTAAACATAATGGTTTCTTCATTTGTATTATTTTATTAATGTTTAACAGAGTTTCCACTCTTCATTAAAAACATTAAATAATTAAAAACTTTAAACTCATTAAATAACCTCAGGAAGATTGTGATTCTCTTCTTGAGTAATGAGTTTCTCCTAAATTTTCTAATAAATGTTTTGCTTTTTTCAATTAAATCTCCCTGAAATTTAGGCAAGTTTAACAAAGCCTAAATTTCAGGGAGATTTAATTGAAAAAAGCAGAACTAGATACCTTTTTCTTCTAAAAAGGTATCTAGTTCTAAAAAACAACTTGTGAAAAGTTGTTTTTTAGAACTAGATACCTTTTTAGAAGAAACCTTTGGCTGTTTCATTTGGGTGCGAGATCGTCTGTCAATACAACCCCCTCCTCCCCCTCCCCCGTTAATTGGGTTACAGAAAAAATTGTCATCCATCCTTTTTATTATAATTAATAAAAGACATTTAAAAAAACAAGAAGTGTAAATAAGATCTTACAATTTGATGAGGCCGGTCACTAATGGTTTTTCTGGTCCATGTTTTAGAGCTAGTCCAACCCTGTATGCAATCCTTTAAATGACCTGCGTTCTACACATAAAATGTTATATCTGTGGTGCTACTCCCGATTTAGTAGTTTGGAAATAAAAAGGCATAGTTGATGAAGAAAAAAACTAAGATTGTGGCTGTCTACGGTGCATATTTCAACCTGTACCTTTAAAGTCTTGTTAAACATTAGCTACCGCTTCGACATAAAAAAGTGACAACCTAAAAGCAATGAGAATGAATGTAGTGTCAAACAACGTTTGGAAGAGATTAAACAAAAGTTTAAAAAAAAAATGGGACTTTTTATAGACAAACTAAAACCTGGTTATGGAAATACAAATACTGGCCACACAGCTCTCAGGTTTTTTATAAATCCAGCAATAAGCGAAAAGATTACGAGAGTCAAACTAATTCATAATTTTTTGAATTAGTTTGACATCTAACTCTATTATCTGGCCGTGATATTGATTGTGTCGAACTTGAAATTTTTTTTCAATGAAATATGCTTTTGATAAAATCTGACTCTGTTATCAGTTTTCTTGGAAGGTTGCCTGCAAAGAGAAGCGATAAATTGCCACTAGAGGTTTTGATTTTGGTTGTACCGCTTCAAACAATAGCAAACTCTGCTTCTTTTTTTTTGCCGTATATTTACATTTTATGATAAATAATTTTGTAAACTTTTTTAATGGTGAAATACATAATAGTCTTCTAAAGACTCGATGAGTTTTCTCATGAGGATTCAAATTATAAGTTTTCTCATGGATTCAAATTACGAGTTTTCTAATAATTAAATATAAACTTTATCGTATAGTTTTATGAATGGTTGCATTTTAAATTAATTTTTTTTTTCGTACTTCATTTTTTTATTATAAATATCCCCTAAACTATGAAGTTATTAAACCTAATTTAATTATTCAGAAAAACATCAAAGTGTTGTTTATTTCAACTATTTGGGACCAGAACGATCAAATGGTAGAAATTTTTTTTTCTCCAGCTTTTATAAGACAACTTACTGTACTAAGCTTTTTTTTTTAAGTTTGTTATAATAGGTGACATACAGCCATGATGAAAACCTGTGAACGTTCATACAAAGTTAGAACCTAATAATTTCTTTATTATAATATAATTTATCTTTTATTGATGTTTACTTTTGATGAAAATTATTACCTTTAAAGTTATTATTATGCATGAAGTTATCTTAAAAAAATAATCTAGATCCTTGTCTTTAAAATTTGCATTAACAAAAAGTAAAAAAAATAAATGAATAACTGATTCACTCGTTTAGAAAATGAACAGCGTGAGTTTTGTGAAAGCAAAATACATTTGTGTTTTTTTAAGTTTTTAATTTAGGTGCCCCAAGAAGTCCTTACGGTCTTATCACAGAGCGCCGCGGGTGAGCATTTAATAGGAAGTTTACGCCTCCTTCTTAACCTATGTCGCAAACTTGTCCAGAGGTGGGGTTTGAACCAAGGATCCTTTGAGTCTGAGGCAAGTATTAACGAATACATTCTTGATTTTGGTCTTTCGAAATCACAATCTCGTGGTCAAACTTTAAATAAGCGGACGCAAAGTACACTCTACGTCGGAATTGGGGTTTTGACAAATGAACGTTACATATAATATATAACGTTATATATTATACGTCATATTATATTAACGTATACATACGTATTACATACGCATTATGTTAACGTTATATATTTATATAAGTTTAGAATTAGTGTAAAATCAATAATTAATTAGTATAAAATCAATAAATAGTGTAAAATCAATATATTATGTTATTTAGTATCGTTTAATTGTGTAAAATTAATACATCAAATGTACAAGTACATATAATCCTATAGACTGGTACAAGCACGTTCAAACGAACAAAAGGTTGATAGAACTATTTATTATGCTTAATTATTCTATTTGTAAAATCATGACCTCAAAGAATAATAATAATAATAAAAATACATTTTGTTATATAATATAATAATGATAATAAAAATACATTTCTTATTTAATATATAAGAAATATTTCTAGCTGTACACTGTACAAATGACAAAGAAGATTTAAGAGAATTTAAGAATATCTAGAATAATATACAAAATATTAATTATAAAATACTCAACTGTATTCAGACTTTGAAACACTTATTTCACAAACCTTGTATACAAACCAAATGAAACATCTTGTAGAACTTCTTTCAAAAATCATAAAATTCTTTATTAATAGAAAAGTGTTTCAAATTTTTTAACATTTTTCTTAAGTTTTCTATGTTTCATGAGAGCAAACAATTAATGTTTAGTAATCTTTATTATATATTTTCGTAACTTTTGTCATGTTTCTTATAAAGTATTACTTTATAAAAAACATAATAAGTATGACCAAAAAAAAAAAAAATATTTACTGATTTTCCAATTTTGTATAATAGATTTTTTAAACACTTATAATATTTGTTTTTAGTATAATAAACAAATATATCTTTTATATTATTCCTTATACTATAAAGAATTTACTTTTAAGATATTTTAAATTTTATTAATTTATTAAAAGATAATGGTATAATTCAAATTCTTCAAAATTCTTAAAAATGAAATTTAATTTAATTCTCTTGACAATGAAATTGTATTGATTTTTACCTTAAACTTAAGATGTTTAATAGATTTAAAGTACTTAAAAGATGCATAAGTTTTTTATAAAAAATACCATTATTTTTGTTATCAGCACAATATAGTTAAACCAGACTGTTTTCACAACATTTAGTATTTAGTTTGGGATTTTACATTGAAACTAAAACATGTAAACCATGATTTTTTTTTTGAGTATAAAAAAGAAATTTATTGACAAAAAAAAATTAAACATTTTGATTTTTTAAAATTTAAATCCTTTAATGTTCTAACCTTGTTCTGCTATTAATCTTATATATATATATATATATATATATATATATATATATATATATATATATATATATATATATATATATATATATATATATATATATATATATATATATATATATATATATATATATATATATGTATATATATATATATATATATATATATATATATATACATATATATATATATATATATATATATATATATATACATATATATATATATATATTTATATATATATATATATATATATATATATATATATATATATATATATACATATATATATATATATATATATATATATATATATATATATATATATATATATATATACATATATATATATATATATGTATATATATATATATATATATATATATATATATATATATATATATGTATGTATATATTTATAAATATATATATATATATATATATATATATATATATATATATATATATATATATATATATATATATATATATATGCATAAATACATGTAAATATTTAGGTGTTTTTAAAATGAAAAATTTCATTTCATTTAAGAAATGAAAGATTTGAATTCAAATAACAATGTCAATAATTTGCAAGATTATGAAAGCTTAAAGAAACTTTATGACGAGCTACAACTTCAAGAGGTTTTTTTTTGAAATATAGATACAGTGATATTGTTTAATTTTTTTGTTTTTGTTTTTGTTTTATAATGAAAGGTAAAATGTTTAGGTATACAGAGAAGTATGAGAATAATATTAAATAATAAAAGGAGGATGAATATTTAATCTAAAAAATCCACTATAATTTCACAACACATTTTTTCTTTATATATTATAGCTAAAATAACAATAGCTTTCACGACTCAGAAATATTATAAAAAATAAAGAGAAAAGTTTAGAACCATAGTTAGATGTTTTTTTGATAAATTATAAATAAACTTTTTCGAGATGCAACTTTTAAAAATTAAAATGATAAATAGAGCATGAGCCCGTGGTTACCAGACCTACATTATTTTATAAAAGTTTAAAATTTCTCAGCATGTGTTTCCAACACAAGTAGCTATGGTCAACTATGTATTTTAAATCATAGTGGCTTTGGCAGGTACTAAAAGTGTTTAAAATACACGCTAAATTATGTCAAATTTTATAGCACAATTTTCTTTTTGTAGTAGTATTATAAATCATGCTTATAGAAAAATGCAATAATTGTTTTTTTTTTGTTTTTTTTTTTTGAAAAAGAAAAGCTATTAAATCCACCTTTGAATCCACAATTTTCATCTTAGATTTTTTGCATTAACTGTTGTTAAATGCTAATATAAACCGGTACTTTTTTTGATGCAATCAAACAGCAATTATTTTCAGTTTAATTACATAACTAAAGCTTTTGTTCTAATGTTTATATATATATATATATATATATATATATATATATATATATATATATATATATATATATATATATATATATATATATATGTATATATATATATGTGTATATATATATATATACATATATATATATATATATATATATATATATATATATATATATACACATATACATATACATATATATATATATATATATATATATATATATATATATATATATATATATATATATATATATATATATATATATATATATATATATATATGTATATGTATATGTATATGTATGTCTATGTATATGTATGTATGTATGTATGTATGTATGTATGTATGTATGTATGTATGTATGTATGTATGTATGTATGTATGTATGTATGTATGTATGTATGTATGTATGTATGTATGTATGTATGTATTTTTTGATAAGCAATTCAATCAAAATGTCAACCATGATGTCCAAAATTAACTTTTAGCAAACCCCGATAAATTTGGTATCAAATGAGATAGATGGCTGTAGTTTTTATTTCTGAATTTATTATATCTTTGTGGTAAGTTGCCAAAATTTGTTGAAAAAGAAGTGTCATCTATGTTTCAAATTTATATTGGTAAATATGTTGAACATTTATAGCTTTGTTGCTAGCTGCTATATGATACTGTACCTCTAACTGCTAGTTACAAAATAAAACTGGTTCACTTGTGACTCTAAAAATAGGAAATAATACATGTTCTACCTCTTCTATGCTTTATATTGCACAGTTTAATTATAGTACAGCTATACCATCACATCCGACACTTTATTAGAAAAGTTTTTTTACCAGCTATAGGACTTGGCTCTGAAAGATACTGACTCATATATTCAAAGTTAACTCTGTAAGGATAGTGTATGGGTAAATTATTTTGTGGTAAAATATCTACATGCATGGCAGATATTATGGTGTCGGATGTGACAGTGTCAGACGTGACCGCCAGTGTCAGATGTGACGAGCTTGAAATTGTTTCATTTCAATCTGGCCCATTGTTGTTTAAATGAATATTCTATGTAGTTGAATCTAAATACCTTATGTTTACGGTGATATGTTTAACTATTCTGTTGTTCAATATTCTATGTAAACAAGCAGATTTATGCAAACAAAATTTAAATTTCAAAGACTTTTCAATTTCTGGTGTACAATTCACTTAAATTCACTTTGAAGCAAAGAGGTTAGCTTAGTATCAGCTTGAATTTTAGTTTTTGTTGAACAAGTTTTGATAATGTTTGAAGCTAATTGTAAAAGTGCATGGTTTTTGTGCATGGTGCAGTGAAACTAATTGTGAAACTAACTTAAACTTTTTAGATGGTCAAGCCTAATGCTCAGAAGTGCAAAGAGTACAGAGAAAAACTGAAGCTAGCAAGAAGATTTGATGCATATAAAATCAAGGACCAACAGAAGAAGAAGTAAAAAAGATTGTCACACTAACAATATAAGCATCAAAACAAGTCATCCCAGTGTTGAGAACATGATCTTCTTCTCAGATAGTGCAGTTTCCAGATAAAGTAAAATGTGAAAAGGAGATGCTAGAAGCCAGATAAAAAAATTTTAAGTTCTTGCCTCAGAGACAATCATTTCACTACATTGAAGTTCAGTAACTCTATATAATTGCTTGCAAAAGATATTTTAGTGATACAAAACAAACACTCTTTGGTTTTGGAAAGGGAACAGTGGAGCTGTCAAAGACATACACAACTTTTATGTCAAAATTTACGCCGTCACGTCTAACACTATGTGATTTTAGTTACAGCACAGCCAGTATTGTAAATAAAAAAATCATGATAACATGATTAATAGCACACACCACCAATGTATTAACAATGAAAGTATATTAGCAAAAATTTCTTGATTTCATAACAAATGACACATTTAAATACATCTGAATGTCATGTTTGACACCATAGAATTGCCCATATATATATATATATATATATATATATATATATATATATATATATATATATATATATATATATCACTATTTTTAAAGTATAAGTGAAATTTAAAAGTTATTGTTTAGCTAAATTGCAATAAACGTTGTTTATCTGGGGTCTGAGACACAACAATATATCAATCTTTGTTCACTGTGTTGATAACAATAAAATATTTAAATTATCATTTTCCAACAATTGCTTGCATAGCTTTGCCATAGTTTAAATTCAAAAATCAAATCATTTAAATTATGTCTAAAACTCTAAATAGTATGAAAAAGTATCAATTTGTTGATTAAATGATGTTTTGTCAATTTCATATTAATTATAGCATAGTAAAATTTGTTTGGATTGTAACTGAAGTTTGCTACCATTTGGCTTAAAGAACTCCTTTTCTATTAATTGAAATGGCATTATAATAGAGATCACAATGCTTTAAGTGGATACTGATACTGTGCTTGTTTGGTCATGCATTTGGCTCAAGTACTTTAACATTGATAAATGTAAGGTGTTGCATTAAGGTTGTTTAAAGAGACTTTTAACACAGAAGTACTAAATTAAAGAAGTAATAGAATAATATTGAGTACTCTTTTTAGATTTTTTTTTTAATTTTAAATTTATTATATTATTTTATGACCTCTGAAGACATTAAATATTTTTTATTAGCTAAAAGAAAATACAACACTATTTTCTATTAAATTTTTAATCTTTTTTAAAATCCAAACTAGCATGTTATATATACAGCAGCAGGGGATAGTTACATTGGACAGTTGGAGCAGTCTGATACAAGCTTAATTTATAATTGCACACACAAAAAAAGGATTATTTTAAAAAGCTTAGTTTTTTTTAAACTTAGAAGGAGGATTATGTTAGTTCAGCCAAATTTGTATCTTGTTTCTACTTTATAAAAATCAACAAGTTTGATAGCCACTTCAGGTAACAAAAAAAAAAAAAAAAGGTTTAAATGAGTTGACATGAGATTATGTTTATTGTTATGTTGTGACATTATATAACACAAATGACAGACATTATATAACACAAATGACAGACAAAAAAATGAACCAACTAAAAAACCTTAATAATTTTTAAAAATTACAATATATTTTGTTTGTGTAATTTGTCAGGTGACACCTTCAGCATTAATTAACAATTAGAAACTGCTTTTATCATTAGTCAACAGTATTTTATATTTTGACAACATGTTATGGTTTTACATTTTAGTTTTTAGTTTTTTATAAATATTACAAATAAACAAGGTTATGTTTGATTGCATCAAAACAAACCTTGTTAAACAGGGTTAGTTTCATATATTTTTTTAACAGTTTAAACTTTAACATGCATACTTCTTTTTTAATGTTTGTTGTTATATTGTTGTTATTATTTTTAATTTATTGTCTGTTTTTTCTTTCATGACTGACCTCGTTTTTAAATGTTTACTGTCATGTTTGTTTTTGTTTTTAATTTTTATTTTTTAATTTATAGTTTAAGTTGTGTTTGTTATTATAGAATGAAGTTGAGAAAGAATTGGAAGGCGTCATAAAGGAACACGATCAACTTTTAATACAGTTAGAATCTGTGCCAAAACTTGTGTAAGGTTTTAAATTGTTAAAAAAGTATTAAAATAAATTTGTATAATAAAAATAGTGTTTTTGTCAACAAAAATATTTTTATCAGCAAAATTCAGAAATTTGTGCTGCAACGGTTTGATTATTTGCATTTTTAATATTTTGAAAATGACCTACAAACAAGGTAAATAAAAAGTTAAATAATTTGAGAACAGTTTAAATTTGTGTTAATTAATTTTGTAATTTCGCACTGTTGAATTTAAAGTGCAAAAGTACACAAGAGAACCACAGAAATGCATCGTTTCTTCAATTTCTAAAACCTGTAACTGAATTGAATTTACTAAACTTATAATGGCAAAAAATAAAACAAGCGAGAAGCCTTAAACTGAGGAGACAATAAAAAACGCATTGAATAAGATTGAAAATGGTGATTTAAGCTTAAGAGGCCCAGCTCAATTCAACCACATATTAAAGTCAATGTTATCCGACCGAAAATCAAATAAGACTTTAGTAGTTGGTAATGGCAATAAAACAAAATTGAGCGCTTTTATCAAGTTAACCTTAGTTCACCTTCTTAAGATGCTTGGCGATTGGGGTTTTGGTAGATAATTAGACCAAGTTCGAAGTTTAGTGAGAGACTATTTAATTGAAAATGGTGAAATGTGTTTGTTTAAAAATGGAATGCCTAGTCGCAGATGGTAAAAAAGATTTATGAGTTGATGGCACTCAGAACTAAGAGAAAGAACTGCTACAAACTTTAATCCCGCCTGCAATTTCAATTTCAACTATAAATTTAACAAGAAGAAGTGGCCACTTGTCTAAAAATCTGCTCTCTTGTTCTTCTTTTGGAACTAAAAAATTTTAATTCAAAAAATGCTTACAAGCATCCTGAAAAATAAACCAGAAATGTTAGAACAATGGCTGGTTAAGCTTTTACAGAAAAAGCATGATTGAATATGAAGAAGACACAAGCTATTAAAAGGATTATGTTGAAATTGCAGCAGCAGAAGTAGAATCTCCTGCCAAGAAAGCCAGAGATGCAAGTTTTATGGATAACTTGTAAAAAAATCATATTGCAGTTTGTGGCTTTGTGAACCTTGTCTCCAAAAAAGATATATAAAAGGCGAATAATTCTTTTGCACAAAAAGTTGTTTTTTGTGTGCTTTTAGGGACAATTTTCCGAATAGCGGACATTTTTAAAAATAATAAAATATTTTTTTTTTACACTGCAAAATTGTTTTAATAAACAACCATATTCCAGAAAAAAAAATCCTACAAATTCTCAATATTAAAAAAGTTATTTAACTTTTTGTGAAGAGTGTTTTGATTCATACATACAATTTATATTGAAATCTAAATTTTGGTTTCAGTTCAAAAGAAATTTTTTGTCAAAACCAAAACTGGAAATACTTAATCACTAATTTTAAAATTTCTGAAATTTAGTATAATTATATAGTTATAATGTAATTTATTATAATTTTTAAACTTATAATCTTCAATTTTAGATCTTCATTGGATATTTTATCTTTGGATGGAAATAATTTAAGTAATATTATATCCAAGACATCGTTGTTGGCTGAAAATGTTAGCAGTAAAGTTCGACTATTGGACTTTGCTAAGGTAACACTTTTTCATATTTAATCATTTTACATTTAAGCTTACATTAGGCAAGTTTTATGATAATTTATTTTTAACTAAAATTCTTTGAACTGCTAGTTTTTGAATCAAATTTTTACTTAAAGATGATGCGATTGTGAATTATTAATGCCTGTCAGGGTTTAGGTTTTTTATTTAAAAGAAGATAGTTTAACAATATTTTATAGGTTTAAAACTCCTTTACGAGAGTTTAATAAAACCTTTTTATTAGCAAGAAATCCTAATGCTATTTTAGGCATATTTATAAACACAACCTGTCAAATTAGCTGCTTTTGTTACTAGTTCTTTATTTGATTACTTTATGACAAGCAGAAAATTTTGCTTTTCTATTGAGTGAGGAGATCAGATTTAAAAATTTGATTGTTTATAAACAACTATAAGAAATATTGCTTTTAAATTTATGTAAAAAACTATTCTGTCAATATTATCTACACACAAAGGTAAAACAGATGCTCTGATATTTTTTATACTCTTGTCTATAATCACGATTTTTTAGCTTCAGTTTGTTTAGCTTCTTGCTTTTTAATTTTAAACTAATATGTTAATACTTTTTGCTAAACTCCATTAAATCATTTTTCATTAAATCGTTTAATGGAGTTTGATTTCAGTTATGATTTTAACTGATGGTGAGTCATATGATATAAAAAGATATGAAAAGAGCTATATGATAATACAAGATATGAAAAAACAATGCAATGTGTCAACACTTAAAGAGTAACCTTTATGTGATATTTGTTGTCAATAAAGTTGTAAAGAAGTTAAACTTTGTTGAAGTTGTTGAAGTTTGGGCAAGGGGGGCTCTATGTTTGCTTTCAGATGTCAATTAAATGGAAACACTGACTTTATTGTCATGGGAGCAAAGTATAAGTTCTTTAGAACTCTAAGAATTTTTACAAGATTAAAGCATACTTTTCAAAGTCACTGATGTATAATTTAGCAACTTTGCATCTCAAATTTTTGACATTAAGTCTTTTGGACCTAATGGTCTTTTGATGAAAAAAATTTTAAACCATTTAAGTTTTTGTAATCATTTTAAATTTTTACTTTTTGTAGTTTTTTAAAGTATTTTTTTTGGTAATCGTTACAAATTTTTATTTTTTTGGTCATCATTTTTTAAAATTATTTTTCAATCTCTATAACATATATAAATGTTGAAGTCACTTCAGTCACATGACTGTTCTCAAGAGATCTTAATGGGGGAAGGTGGGTGGATGGCATAGCTGTTTTTTTGCTGAGTAAGGCCTAGAAATTATTTTTTTGCCGATCAAGAAATAAACAAAATAAAACAAGACAAAAAAAAAACAAAGAAAAAAAAAAGATCCTTGTTGGCTAACATTTGCAGATTGCTAATATAGATCCGATTTTGCCAACTTCATTGTTCATATTTCCTGGCTAATAAATTTCCTAGGGGATTAGACATGCCCTATGCCTTCTCTGGTCACATGATCAAAAGTAGTTTTAGAATTGGCCACAAGCCTTTTTGGTGTGTTATTATTTAGCAGTTTTGTCCAATTAGATAAACACCTTTTTTCAGAGTTCAATTTATATCAGTATTGTTTTTTTATTTATTTTACTTCTACATTTTACTTTGATGCTGTTATACACTTTGTTTTTATCTCAGACTAGATTTTATTTACTTCTTCTTAAGAATTTGTTTCTAAATGCTTTTAAATATCCTTCAATAATAGATTATTAAAAATTTTTCACTAGACATTTTTATTCTACAAGACCAATAATTTTTTTTCTTCACAATCATTTCATTAAAAATAAGTATAATAAAAAAAAATAATCATAATAGCATTATTAATACAATAATTAGATAAATTAGGGAAATGGCTTTTAAGGTTAGTGTCACTATAACAGAAGCCTGTTCAAAAGAGTGACACAAAATATTAAAGTATAACTTTTAATACTGCCTAATAAATTTTAATTTGTTTTAATGCACCTCAGACAATATAGTAGCTTTGCATTTGGCTTTAGATTTTAATTATCATTATAATATTGTTGAAGACTTTCTGCTTCTAAGGAAAGAGTTTTTACTAAGTATTTAACTTACATATTTGTTGCATTTGGAACATTTAATGTCTATAATACTTTTTAGGAGGTAATTGTTTGTCTGTTAATAGATTATGTCTAGTCCGTAAACTGAAAAGAGGATTGGAACACTTTTTATCACTCTTAATAATCATCTTTCCATCCAGTAGACTTATTGTTAAATATGAATTATGTTTACAGTTTAAAAGTCACTTTGCACACTAGGATAATAATCAAGGCAGTAGCTTGATCTCAGGTTTGTGCATTGGTAATAATAATAACAAGTGTTTGACTGAGTCTTGTTTTCCTGCTTGTTGGAAAATGGCATCTGTGGTTCCAATATTCAAAAACTCTGGAGAAAATTCTGACCCCTCCAATTATCGTCCGATCAGTCTTCTTTCTGTTATTAGCAAGGTCTTTGAGTCTTTGATCAACAAATTCCTCACATCTCATCTTGAGTCAAATAAACTGCTGTCAGACAATCAATACGGTTTTCGATCCTCTCGCTCTACGGCCGACTTGCTAACTGCTGTAACTGAAAGATTTTATCGTGCATTAGATGGAGGCAGTGAGGCTAGGGCCATTGCTCTCGACATATCTAAAGCTTTCGACAAAGTTTGGCATGCTGGTCTTCTCCATAAGCTTGCTTCATATGGTGTTTCTGGGAAAGTTTTTGAGATTATCAAATCATTTCTTTCTGACCGGTTTATTAAAGTCATCCTTGAAGGCCAACACTCTTCTTTATTTTAAGTAACTTCTGGGGTTCCCCAAGGTTCCATCCTGGGCCCTGTTTTGTTTCTTATCTACATAAACGATCTTCCTGACAACCTTTCATCTAAAGTAGCTCTTTTTGCTGATGACTCAACTTTATACTCCTGTCTTGACAAAAAGTCTTCTCTTTTCGATCGCCTAGAACAAGCAGCTGATCTTGAATCTGATCTCACTTCAGTAATAGATTGGGGTTCACAGTAGCTTGTGAATTTCAACTCTAAAAAAACCCAATTGCTTACTGCAAACAACTACCGTAATATGGTCAACATTTCTATATTAATGAATGGCAATCCTCTTACTGAGTCGTCCTCTTTACGTCTTCTCGGGTTATCGCTTACTACTGACCTTTCATGGAAACCATATATACAATCGATTGCTAAATTAACTTCTGCTAAGGTTGCTTCTCTTTATCGTGCTCGCCATTTCCTTACTTCTGATTCCATTCTCTACCTCTACAAATCTCTTATTCGTCCCTGTATGGAATACTGTTGTCATATTTGGGCTGGTTCTTCTAACCATTCACTTTCTCTTCTTGACAAGGTCCAAAATCGCATTGTAAATGTTGTTGGACCTGGACTATCTGCTAAGCTTGAACCTCTTTCCCATCGTCGTAAAGTTGCATCTCTTTCTCTTTTCTACAGATACTATCATGGTCACTGCTCAAAGGAGTTATCATCTCTAGTTCCATCAACTAAAATTCATTCTCGTTTTACTCGTCATTCAGCTAAGTCTCATTCGTTTACTGTATCTGTCCCTGCATGCTCTAAAAACTTTTATTCATCTAGTTTTTTTCCCCGCACTTCAATCCTTTGGAACTCTCTCCCATCTTCATGTTTTCCTGACTCATACAACCTTCAACTTTTCAAGTCTTCTGTCAACCAATTCCTTGCTCTATAACTCTGTTCTTTTTTTTTTCCTAGTAACTCCCAACTTAATAGTGGTTGCTTGCAGCCTTGTTGGGAGTGAATGCAAATAAAAAAAATATATATATATATTGTTGATTAGGCTGATTACTTTCGCAAATCCATGAATACATTGTTTGATTTTGAAAAATGTTTTTAATGATGTTGTGGTTTCCAGCCATCTGTTGCTTGTATCATCTGTTACTTGTAAAGGAAGGAATCATCTGTTTCTTGTGCAGGAAGTAAAGTTATTTGGCTATTTAATGAACATTTGTTACTTTTGTATATAAAATATAATTGCCAGGATATGTTGCCAGGATATGTTGCCAGGATATGTTCAATTATTTTAGATGCTGTGGTTTAAAGATTTAAAATTTTAGATATTTTATTTTATAATAAAATTATAATTAATTATTATAACATTAATTAATATAACATTAATATAACATTAATTAATATAGCATTAATTAATATAACATTAGTTAATATAACATTAGTTGGTTGGTAGTCAGTTGGTAGAGATGGGTTATTGACCTTAGGATGTTTGCAAGAAACTATTCAAATGGTACAATACAATTTTGATGCAATCTTTATAGATTGTAATTAACTTTGTTCAGGCAAGAGACATAAAATAAATTGCCAGATATGTCATCATGACCGTTTGGTATCAGGTTTATGCAATCAATTGTTCATTAATATGAAAGAAGTTTTTTTCGCATGAAAAATATCTTTGAATAAAGCTGGTTTATGGTAACTGCATTTTTTCAATATCTTTGTCTGATATGTTTTTGAGAGTAACCTTAATATCTTTGTCTGATTTGTTTTGAGAGTAACCTTAATATCTTTGTCTGATTTGTTTTTAAGAGTAACCTTAATATTTTAGTCTGATTTGTTTTTAAGAGTAACCTTAATATTTTAGTCTGATTTGTTTTTGAGAGTAACCTTAATGTCTTTATCTGATTTGTTTTTGAGAGTAACCTTAATATTTTTGTCTGATTTGTTTTTGAGAGTAACCTTAATGTTTGGTTTGGAGACAATTTTATTATTCTTATTTATTAAATAGAAAAAGTTAAAAAATGAATTTGTAAACAAAAAACAAACAAAACAGACCTTGTTTAAAAGCATTATGCAATGGTATCTCTATTTTGATTATGCTAAAAAATTTTTTTTTTATAATATTTAGTTGAGTCTGAAAATATCTTTTATGTGGTTTAATAAATGAAGAATTTGTTTTAATAAACACAAACCATTGTTAATAAAGTTTGAGTTATTATTACATAAATTTCATCGTTTAAAAATAGAATAAATTTAATAAAATTAAAAAAAAAATAAAAAGTTTAAAAAATTTAAAAAAGCTAACCTTTTTAAACAAAAATTTTTAGATTCGTGTTTTATTATGAAGTTAATAAATGAAACATAAAAAAATATTTAAAAAAATAATTTATCATCTTAGCAACACAAAATGAGTTATTCAGTTGTTGTTACAGCAACAACTGGCAATCTATGCAGTTATAAGTAATTTTATATAGTTATCAATTGTTTTAAATTTTTGTTGCTTAATTGGAATTAAGAATTTTTTTATTATTTTAACATCCATTTTATTTTCAAATTAACCTTTGCTATTTACTTTGCTATTAACAAACTTAATAATTTAAATTTAAAAATAACTTAATTTTTGTTTTAAATTAATTTTATCACTTGAAAATGTATGAAATATATATAATAAATATACAGCTCTTGCAATGTCTCAAAAGAATTTTTAGGTAAAAAAAATAGTTTTTAATTTTAACATCAGGTTTAAGTAGTTAATGGATTGTATGGTATCCAAAGGTGTGTTCAGAAATATAAAAGCAAATAAAATTTTTTTTATGTTCTAAACCATATGCACTTAAGGTGGTTCCCCTAGAAAAAAACTATTTTCTTTTATAGCAATAGCAAATTGTTTTTATATCAATTTTTTAATACAAGGAATAAATACAAATTTAAAAATTGTGATTTTATAACAAAATAGGCATTTTATAAAGCTGAGTCAGCATTTTTTTACTATTTTATGAGCAAAATGAGGAGAAACTTGGGATACAATAATTTTAAAACAACATATGTATATAAGATGAAATTTGGTACAAAGATAATTTACATATATATAAAGGGAATGAGCGAAAAAAAAAATCTAGATACAGGCTTAAAAACTCATAATGGCGGTCAACGTAAAAAAATACATTTTTGAAACCCTCTATATCAATATAAAATTGACAAAAATTAAAATAAATAAAGAATCAGTAATTATTTTTTCGCTCAGTTTCTAGGTATATGTTTGAAAAAAAGTTTCCTGAAAATTTCAAGTGAATAAGTTTAATATTTATTAAAATATGAGGTTTGAAAAACTTAAAATTGCATGAAAATCATATTTCGCAAAAAATGCAATTTTAAAAACCTAAATACAAAAAAAATAAAACAAATTTAAAATCCACCAGATAAATAACTTTCCTTAGCTTTTTCTAGATCAATATAACCCTTTTTAGCAGCCCTTATTTTTTTCTTTTGATTTTTCCTTTTTCATTCCTCTTTTTAGTGCTCTTATCAATACAATCTTTATCTCTCTTAACAGATAATTGGTCGAAACAGTAACCATTTGAAATTCCATAATATTTTAAAACAGAACAAAATACACTCACTTAAAATTATTCTTGAAACTTATTATCTAGAAACAATATTTATTAAAAACAAAATAAAAAACATTGATAAAGCATAACAAACATAGCATTTGCAAACAAGCAAAATATATTTCTGTCAACCACACTAACATCACTTTTATTAACTTTTTTCTGTTCCATTACTTAATTCCGTGCACATTTGAGTAATTTACAGAACATAAAGTGCTTTCTAGAATCAGAGTAAAAAACAAAAAAAGACCACCTATTTTTGTCAACTTGTCAAATATTTACACAGACAAAATGTGTTGCTAAGGCATTATTATGGACATTTTTAATGTACCCATATTCTAAAACCCTAATTTTTCATCTTTATACTTTAAAAGACCCATCAAATAATATATCATTGGAAAGAGTATTTGGCATTTAAATGGCATTTAAAAAGAATGGCATTTAAAAAAGTATATGTATTCACAATTTTGATTTTTTTTTTCAAAATCATGTTTTTTTTCTAGGGGAACTACCTTAAGGATTACTCACTTTACATAACTAGCTATAATGCCAAAATTACACATTTTACGTTCATAACAAGCTGGATACCAAAATTACACATTTTACGTTCATAACAAGCTGGATACCAAAATTACACATTTTACGTTCATAACAAGCTGGATACCAAAATTACACATTTTACATTTATAACAAGATTGATACCAAAATTAGTATTTGGAAAAAAGTTTTTTTTGTGTCAAAAAAAAATTTGGAAATTAGTAGTAACGCTCTTGTTTTTATTATTACTTTTTCTGTTATAAAATTTTGTAAACATTAGAGTAAATAAACAAAATAGTATACAAAATAAACTATAAAAAATTTATCTTATTAAATCAATTTAATTATATTAAAAATTTTATTAAACAATTAATAAATGCTAAACCTTTAAATTTGTTTTGTAGAGATCTGGGTAAGTAAGTCTTGTTTTAATGATATCAGGGTAAGTAAGTCTTGTTTTGTAGAGATCAGGGAAGATAATAAGAAGATAAGATTAGGACTCTACATTCTAGAAAGTTGTAGCCTCTACTTGCTTACCCAGACTCTAGCATCCAGGAATTCCAAAAATGTTAAAAGGTTCTGGAATTTTTAATTAAATAAACATTTAATTTTTTTAAATTTTTATTTTAAAATAATTTTTTTCTCTTGTTAGGGATGCATTCAAGATGCCATCAAAAGAGTTGATGATATATTGGATTTAAAGGTAACAATTATGTTATATTTTTAAGAAGCTTCTTCATGCTAAAATTATTTTTTCTTAAATCAGAAATAATTTTTTTTTAATAATAGTTATATTATAAAAAATATTTTTGAACACTTTTAGATAAATTTATTATTTGTTATTGTGCTTATTTGATAACAATATTGAGCAATATTGTGCTGTTATTTAGTTTATTTAAAATAAAAAATTTGTTTGTCTATCTTTAAATATCCTATTTATGTTAATTTAAAAAATTGCTTTTATAAAAGTGCAAGTGAAGTTTTAGATGTTGACTGTTATTGATTGCAGATGGTGATAGGATCATAAAAAAAATTAACATGGGATCTTATGATAGGGTTTTTCTTCAGCCCCTACCCAGTAAGCACAAAGACGTTTAAAAGAAGTTTTAAAGATGTCTTTAAGGCGCACTTGTAGACGTCTAGATCATAAGGCTAAAAGACGTCTAAATGAAGATGTCTTTATAAAAACGCGTTTTAGACGTATTTTAGACATTTTTTCAAGATGAATTTAAGTGCATGACATAACATTTTCGCGTAGTATGTGGTATATATTCATTATATTTATTACGATGTATATTGTTATAAATTCGTATATACAAGATATACATAGGAACCAGCAATCAAAATAATATTGCTGAAATCAACACCAACGGTTGATGCATCAAAGATGAAAATAAGTTATAACAATAGCGAATATAAATCAAAACAGTATTTAAAATATTTATAACTTACCTCTAGTTATAGTAAAATTAATATACGAATTGCTAGCTAATTTTTGACCGCATACTTGACTTATTATATGGCTTGTGGGTGTATAAAAACTAAAAATACTGATATTTAACTTATTTATTATTCTTGCCATTTTCACTTATTATCATGATCAGTCAACTATCTATTAAAAAAGCAAAATAATTATTAATAAAAAAAAGATATATTAATATTATAGCAATTGTTTTAGTGATTCCTGTGACAACAATTTTAGCAATTGTGTAAAAAAGTAATTTAATTTAAAGTAATTTACACTTAAAACTTGAACATATTATTGAAAATAATAAAAACTATGTTTTTACTTTGAATAAACGACATCTACTTAACGCGTAATGACAAAGCCGTCAAAAAGAAGTCATAATGACATATTTATAAACAGGTCTCAGAAAAGACGTCTTTTAGCCTTATGATTTAGACGTCTTTTAATGCGTCCTTTAGACTATTTATAATGCGTCTTTTAAACGTCTTTTTAAACTTTAAAAAGACGCATTTTAAACGTCATTTCAAAAACGCATTTATTAAAGACGTCTAGAAGATGTCTTAAAAAAAGATATCTTCTAGACGTTTTTTTAACGCTTAAATAGACGCCTTTTAAACGTCATTTTAAAAACGTCTTTATAAAAGACATCTAGAAGATGTCTTAAAAATTGACGTCTTTTAGACATCTTTTTATCTTTTAAAAAGACGCCTTTTAAACGTCATTTTAAAAACGCATTTATAAAGGACGTCTAAAAGATGTCTTCAAAACGTCTATAAAAGTGCGTCTTTGCCTAGACTAGTTTTAGACGTCTATAAGTGTCGAAAATGTGTCTTGTGCTGACTGGGTATATGGCATCAGATTGAGCCACAAATTTACCATAGTAAAGAGAACATATTATTCTTATAATGATGATTAGGAATAGCTTTTTTTTTTTTTTTGCCTATTTGGTGTTTTTAAGTTGCAATTAATTCGTTTTGAGAATTTTCTGATGCTGAAATGGGTGAGCTTTTTGTTTACAAATTTAGAATATAGAATGGAGATTCCATGAGCTCATTTATAGGTAACAGCTTTTGTTTAGCAACATAAAACTTGCCAACAAAATGCCTTTTTCTGTAATAAGCCAGTTCTGCTAGCTTATTACAGAAAAAGGCATTTTGTAAAAAAGTTTTTTTTACAAAATGCCTTCTAAAGTGTTTTTTACAAAATGCCTCCAAAAATTTTTCTACAAAAATATAACAAATGATTCTAAATAATCAGTGAAAACCTGTTTTTTATGAAGATTATATCTTTTTTTTTTTGATTTTGATTAATTATTTATACAAGCATTTAATTGATTATATGTGGTAGTGGTGTAGTGGTAGAGGGCTTGCCTCATAAGTAAAAAGTTCAGAGTTTGATCCCTACCACTTCCCTGGTAGTACCGCACTTGTTTCTTGTCCAGTGGCCTTTTTTGAAAAGGTTCATGTTTTGGAGTTATAGAGTTGAGAGAGGGTTACAACCACATCTAATAATAACTTTGGGGAGGTGAATTTAAATTATATATAACAAAAAAAAATTGGTTTGTGTTGAAAAGGAAGAAGATATATATATATATATATATATATATATATATATATATATATATATATATATATATATATATATATGTATATAGGTTATATTTGTATCCATGTCTTCTTTTATTTTCAAAATAGTCCATAAGTCTGTTGATTTTTTTAGAGCTACTGGACACCAAAGATCATAGGTTTTAACTAATAATTATATATGATTTAAATATTGTAAAAATAATATTTGAAGTATAAGATAAAATTTATTTATTTACATAGTCATGTGTTGAAGGTGTTAAACACTCTTTTCTATTTATATAGTCATATATTAAAGTTGTTGAACTCTTTTTTATTTGCATGTTCCTGTATTATTGGTGTTAAACATTCTTTTTTATTTACATAGTCATGTGTTGAAGGTGTTAAACACTCATTCAAGAATGAAGAATATGAACAGGTTTGAATAATTAGCTTTTTTTAAGTATAAAATTAAAATAAATGTAAATATTTTTAATACATCTTATTATTCATGCTATATATATATATATATATATATATATATATATATATATATATATATATATATATATATATATATATATATATATATATATATATATATATATATATATATATATATATATATGTATATATATATACATATATATATATATATATATATATATATATATATATATATATATATATATATATATATATATATATATATATATATATATATATATATATATATATATATATATATATATATATATATATATATATGTATATATATATATGTATATATATATATATATATATATATATATATATATATATATATATATATGTATATATATATATATATATATGTATATATATATATATATATGTATATATATATATATATATATATATGTATATATATATATATATGTATATATATATATATATATATATATGTATATATATATATATATGTATATATATATATATATATTTATCATGGATAATATATATATATATATATATATATATATATATATATATATATATATATATATATATATATATATATATATATATATATATATATATATATATATATATATATATATTAAAATAACGTAAGGCAAATCTTTTGGCAAATCTGAGTATTTTAATATCACTATTTTTAAATGGTGTGAATTACATTTCTATATGCTCCCTGTTCATTTTTTAAACTTTTTTTTTTTTTAATGCATAAACTCATTCATTTTTTTGTGTGTCAGGCTGCTGCATTTATTCACAGGTACTTAAGTTTGGATGAGCGAGCACTACGTGAAATACTACCAGCTGATACCGAAGGTAATAAACTTTTAGTTTTGGTTAGATTTCACATATTAGATATACAGGTTTTTTTCGTATTATTAACTTTTTGAAAATTCACAAATTTATAAATAGTTATAATATTGAAATGAACAATATTGAATTAAACCTGAGCAACATTATATATTAGGGTAGAGCAATTTAAAAAATTTTCGAAATTTGATTAGCCTGAGCTGCGAATCAATGTCTTTTGGTGAAAAAAGAGCCTTACTTTTTTTTTTTTTTAATATAAATGAGTTTTAGAGGTTCCTCTTTAGATTCTAAATTTATGACGGATCCTAATATTGTTGAAATTTTTTTTCTTCTAAACTATATATTAACCTGGTACTCAAACTATATAATATCTATATAAACTATATTTTTTTCTTCTAAACTATATATTAACCTGGTACTCAAAAGAAGCAGAATAATATGCTTATTTTGAATATAATAATTGTTTTAATTTAAAACTGAAGAATAAAAAATAATGTTGTTTTTTTTATTAAAAAACCCCAGTCTTCATCAAAACGGGGGTTTTAAGGTATATTTTTGCAAATATTTTTTTACAAAAAATTTTTTAAAATTAAATTATTATTGATAAAACAAGCATTTTTTTCTGCTTTTTTTGAGTCCAAGGTTGATATAGTTTAGAAAAAAAAAATTCTAAAATATTAGGATCCGTCAAGGATTTAGAATACAAAGAGGAACCTCAAGATCTTATCAAAACCAAAAAATATTTTTTTACTTTCATCTTATAACTAATAGACATCGACTTTTTTTTTTTTCTATGAAAATCGCTCCACCCTATTATATATAACAGCAAGTGGAGAATGAACTCAAGTTTACCAGATGGCAAAACTTTTTGCACAAAAAACAACAAATTCATAGAAAAAAAAAATAAAAAAAAGTAAAGTTTCTTCAAAAGACTATTGTGTTTTAAATAATATTTGTATAAAACAGATATTAATCCAGGTAATAAAAGTACTTAAGTAAAATAAAAATGAAGTCGATAAAGCTTTAAATAAAAGTTACTACTTTAATCAACTTCAAAAGCAAACAAATAAACAAACTTAAAAAACAAATAAATAACAAACTTAAAAAAGAAGCCATGAGTATCACCATTTCTTGGTGATACTTGTGGTCTGAAAAGTACATGCATTAATTTTAAAGTTTTTTCAGACAAATAACTTAAGGTAATACTCGTCTGACCAGGTTATTTTGTATCAACACTGTTTTTAAACATATGAAACATTTTTATAAAAGGTTTTTCCCAGGAATATAAATATTAGTGATTGCTTCAAATACTTTCAAAATTGCTAAGTGGCTTTGGCCCATTGTAATTTGGGATTTATCACTTATTTTGCCCCTTGATCACTTTTTTAGTTCCTTTTTTTTGGTTTCTGAAATTCTATCAATCTTTTTGTTAAAAACATTTGTTTTAAATTTTATGCACAAAGCAAATATGACTCTAGTTTGCAATTTAGGCAACAAAAACCATTTTTTTTGACTTTCATAACTTCTGTCTTTTTCTTATCAAAGCAGCTTTTTTTTTATGCGCTGACATTTGTTTATCTGCATTTTTGCATGATTCATTTTCAAACCACCCCAAATTATATCCTATTCTCACACCCAGATTACCCTCACACACACACTGCTCAAGCTTATCATTAACTTTACAATAATCATTGTTTTTGATTAAACTGAGTTTCAGAGCTGTCTCATCAGTACTGGATTCACTATATGGTGTTTTGGGCCAAAGCCCTGAGCTGCTACATATAAGGCGGCTCACATATAATAGAGAAAAAATTTTATGTTTTCAAGCCTATATTTATAAATAATATTTGAAATCTAGCTACTTTGTTAATAAACAATTATTTATATTAAAAAAATTAAAAAAAAACAACTGCTATAATGTATGAAAGAAAACAGATTAATAGAAATATTGTTTTCTTTTGTTTTATTGATATATAAACGTCTTTTATAATCTATCTAATATGATAAAGAAAAAAAAGGAAAGGTTCTTTTAATATATAAGACTACAAAACATTTATAAAGTTCTATTGATGAAATAATATATATTAATATATATATATATATATATATATATATATATATATATATATATATATATATATATATATATATATATATATATATTAATATATATAACTAAAGACTAAAGCATGTACACCAAATAAATGTAAAAGAAAAAGTACATCATTTTTTTTCAGTGATTATATTAAAATCTTTTTAATTGTTTTCTATTTTGTTTACAAAATGTTTTGTTTTCAAAAAAATGTGTTTGTTTTTCGATTTAACTTAAAATTAGTTTTAAAAATGCACAAATATTTATTTAGCTACAATTTGATAACAAAAGCGTTGCATTACACTGTTAGTCGTGTAATTCAACGTTTTTCTCAAACAAAATTGATCGATTGAAAATCTGGTAGTAAAAGAAAGGAGGGTTTTAAAGATTAGAAAACTGGTTTCACTAAGGGAATGTGCAAAAATTGATGGGCTTGCTCATAGTTTTGTTGTAAAAGTTTAAAATAAACTTGATTTTTATTCTTTCAAAGCACAAAAAGTGCCCAACCTATCTGTAAATCAACAAAAAAGTACAAGAACTCGCTGCAGAATATTATGTGACAATTTTGTTTCTAAATATTTCTGCATTATTAAAGACGATGAAACTTATATCAAGTACAATCATTAGAAAATTCTTGGTGCCATCTATTGTATTGCCAAATATAGAGGAAAAGTAGATAAGTAGTTTAAATACACAAAACAAGACAAGTTTGCTAATAAGGCCTTGATTTAGCAAGCTATTTGCAGTTGTGACAAAAAATTAGCACCTTATATTTCTCAGTGCACACTTTCTGGTCAAATATATGTTAAATAGTGTTTACAAAAACGCTTTTTACCTCATTAAATCACTCCATAACATACCTGTGTTCTGGCCTGATTTAGCTTCAAGTCATTATTGTAAACTAGCTATGGAATGGTATAAAAAAATTAATGTGAAATTTGGGCCTAAAACAGAAAATCCTCATAACTGCCCAGAATTGAGAGTTATTGAAAATTAAAATGAAAACTTTGCAAAAACATTAATGATATTAAAATATCGTTTAAAAAAGCATCAAATAGTTTTGATTCTTATTCTGTGCACAAGCTTGCTGGTACCACCAAAGCAAAACCCCAAAATTTCCCATAGGAATAATTTGAATTTTTTTTTTATGTTTAATATACTTATATAATTGTATTAAAGTTACTGCTTGGTTTGAAATAAAAATTGAAGAGTACTTTTTTTTAGTTGTTTTTCTACTTTCCCATTTGATTTGTGTACATGCTTTAAAATGTCAATTGATAAAGTTTTTTTTTTGTATACTCTTTTTTTGTAATTAATGTTGTTTGTTTAGTATAAGAAATTAGTATCTGTTGTCAGTTTTATGTTTTGTTGTGCTTTAAATTAATGCCTCAGCAATAAGTGAAATGTATAATCTAGCAGTTTGGGTACATTATGTTAGATATTTTAAAAATTTGGTGGGAGTGGCTTTCCTTGAAGAGTTATATGTTTTTTTCTTCACATGTCGTTATAAGTTATTGTGTAAGGTTTTGAAAGGAGAAAATAGCAACTATATTTTAATAACTAACATGTGTGCCTAAAAAAATCACCTTAAAACTCTGGTGTTGCAGAGTAGATGTCACTATAGCTTTTATGGGTGGTGATTTATTAGGTGGCTATTTATTGGATGGCTAGTATTTTTGACAGGTTAGAGATGTGCTCCAGAAATCTGTTATTGAAAATGATAATTTTGTTAAAGTAAGCTGAAAAGTTTAGGGTCTTGATGCGCGTATTCTGCATAATATATATTCTGCATAACATATATTTTAACGTGTTAAATAAATGTTATAGAAAGAGCAGCTAAAACAATTAACTTTAAAAACCAAAACACTTGAATACAACAATGACCAGCATGCAACCAAGAAGGAGTTTGTCATTTCAAAGTGTGAATGTTTTGGAGAATATAAGTGAAAAAGATTAGAGAAAAAGAAGTTGCACAAAGTCATTTTTAAAGGACAGTGAATCAAAGTCATTTTTGTAAATTACAGCAAGCTTGTCTCCGGCTGGCCTGGCATTTCCAGAATTGAGTTCCACCAATTTGGGGAAGAAGCCAACTTGAGAAAAAGAAACAAACTTGAAGAACTTCCACCAACTTGAAGAAGAAGAGAGATGATATATGAGAAATAATCAAAGACACATTCGGATGTGTGAAAAGACACATTAATCATTATGTATCTTTTGTTTAATCATTATGTATCTTTTGTATCATTATGTATCTTTTGTTTCCCAATTAATTTAATTTTAAAATCTAAAAATTTAAAGACATATATGAGTTAAAGTTGTATATCCTAAAAGATGGATAACATTAACTGAAAAAAGAATAAAAAATATTTTTCTACTTACAACAACACTACAAAAAATTGTTTACTCTGTATGAAAAAATATTCATTTTACTCTATAGAAATGCTAAAGAACTGTTTAATAAAAAAACATAATTAATTTCTAAATGCTGTCATGAAAACATATTGCTATCCACAAACCTGAATATTAAATTGAATAGAACAATCCGCACACACATAACAATAGTCTTACATAAATATATGCATACATAATGTGTCAGTAATGGTAAAATGAAATTAAATGGCAACTAAAACAAAAATTTGACTTGATCTTTTAAAAGTTAATAATGTATATTCCTCTATTTCTTTTAGAAAATGACCTAAGTGCTTCCTTTTCTTATCTTCATGAAGCAAAAGCATCTCTTCAAGCAGATGTCAGCAAAAAGTTTGACGAGGCGGTTATTGCTAGAAGTCGACAACAAGTTGAGAGGTATGTATTAGATTAATCAAATTTATGTTATAATTATATGGGAGTATGGACAGGTTTTCTTTGTAGTTTCTGTAAAGTTAAAAAAGTGATATTGTGTTTTATAATGGTTTTAATTAGGTTTTAATTCGGTTTAATTAATTTGAAGTATTCAACAAAAAAACTTTTAACCATGTATTAAATAATTTCTATAATTCATATTTATAATTACCATTAAACTACCGTTAATATTAATACATAGTTACAAATAAATACAGATATCTAAAATTAAAAGACTTAATAAAGTTCTACTAATAAAGTTTGACTAATAATGTATAATAATGTATATTTATTTATTTATTTATTTATGAATACATTTTTATATAATATATATATATTAGTATGAAGTTATTTTTTTTAATTTTGTATACATTATGTTATTCATAGTAAGTTCTAGCTTAAATTTGTGGACCTACTGTAGACAACCTTGTTGAGGTTTTATGCATTTATAGGTGTAAACTGTGCTTTTTGCTCCTAATTTAAATATTTGCTATTAAAATTTGTAATTTTGATTTTTTAAGAGAGGGTATTACTATTCTAAATACAAAGTATGTATTTAGAATAGTTTGGGTAAACAAGCAGAGATTGATTTATGATTTAATGTTATTTTTAAATATGATTTTAAAAGTAACATTTTTTAGAAATAAATTTAAAAATACTTCAAACAAATGAAATAAAAAAATATATACAGTTAGATGACATTTTTATTTACAAATCATTTATAAAAAATGATAAATTGTGAATACGAGTTCATAGTTTTCAAGTGCATATAAAAATCATTTAAGCAATTAAATCAATTATCTATAAAATAGTAGAAGCAAGAAGATACACAAAATGGTAGCTTGAAAATAATTTGTTATACAACATGTTTTATGTTAGTAAAATTTTTTGTATTTTTTGTTACACAACAACTCTAGCTAAATGTTTTCTGAATTATGAATTTATATATAAGATTAGTGGTATAGCTGAAAGTAGGGTTTGCACTAGATATATATTTAAGTTGCTAGTATTTGTGCTTAGCAAAATGATAAAAACTGGCAACTAATTGGGTTTCTGTAGAAAAAACTTTTACCAGTTTTATTGTTATATTCTTTAGTTCTGAAGCTAATTTATAGATTATATACATTAATATAAATAACTTTTACATAAGTAGTAGTTGTTAAGTTTTATTTTTCTTGCTTACTGATAGATTTTTCAAGTTATTTCCATTGGTTGGATTGCAAGAAGAAGGCTTGTTAAAATTTTCAAAATATCTTCGAGCTCAGGTAGAAATTCTGAAATTTTTAATACAAACTTTTAATCACATTTTTAACTTATTGTTATTTAAGATCAGTTATTTTTAAAGTTTTTTTATTTAGATTGCTGAGCACTCAGAATTAAATCTTGATGCAGCACTTCGTGCTGATCCTAAAGGTAAATGAATAAATTACTTAATTTGAGTTTTATTTTTTATTGTTTAATGTTGCTTAGTTTGCATTTTGGGCTGATCTTAGAAGTAAATAAATTATTTTTTTTGAGTTTATTATTATACTGTTCAGTTTTTATTTGATATTACAATAACAATTTTGTTAAAGTTGTTAGAGTGCTTATCATCTTTAATGTAACAAAAATGAAACAAAAGTTTTTTAATTATCAATTTATTTTGTGATTAGAGTGCGAGGTATCAATTGATTTTGTGATTAGAGTGCGAGGCTACTTTATTTTAATAATAACATTTTTATTATGATTTTTAGAACGCTTATCATCTGTAATCTTTGCCGGGACACTGACAAATTTATTTGAGAGCATTGCAAAAGTAATTGACGATCAGCAACCACTTGTTGATACTTTTTATGGTATTAATATTTCTATACTACTAATTATTAATTATAGTAATTTTTCTAATAGTTTTAATAGTATTAGTTATTAATTAATACTAATAATTTTTCTAATAGTTTTTTTTTTTTAATTTTATAATAAGTAACAGTTTTTATTTACATATTTTTAAATAAGTATTGTTTAATAATTGATAACTTAATAATATTAATTATATCTTACAAATTATACTTACTTACTTGATAATTGTGATAAATTGAAAAAAAATTATTTTAGTTGCTTCTTTATTATTTATAAGTTATTCATTCAATATATTATATCATTTATGATATCCAAAATTGTTTCATACATGTAAATAAATATATAAGTTTGAAAAATTATCAAATCTAACAAAATATTGTGCAGCATTCAGGTTCTCACAATTACGAGTTTATGGAAGAATTACTATTACAATTTACAAATATATCTAACATAATTAACATAATTAACATAATTTGAGTAAAGTTTTTGTAAAATGTAAATATAAAGAACGGTCAATCTAAATAAATGTAGATTATACATTTAAGATTATTAGATTACTTTATGTTTATTTAACATTTCTTCACTCCAGCACTTTTTTGTTTTTGTTTTTTATTGTTCTTCTTTTATTTTTTATTGTTCAAACTGCACTCTTAGATGTTGTTTAACTCCTTAAACTTTAAAAAACTCTTTTAGATGTTGTTTCTGATCAAATTGATCAAAACATTTTCTTATTGTGCCACATCCAATTTTGTTATTATTGGTGACTTTATTTTTGATTGTACCGATTGGCTTAAATACAACTAACCTGGTTGATTCTTAAGTTCAAAGTTTTTGTTTTCCCCCGTCTCATACTCATTTAATTTTGTGACTAGTTACTGTAGAATTGAAAATTTTGCTTTTAATTGTTTCTTTTTTTGTATTGTTTACAATAAAAAAAAGTATTTCCATGATAACTCAACTAAATACTCCAGTTTTGACAAAAACTTATCAATTTTGATTGCTTATAACAGCTGATCTTGAATGAGATCACTCTTGTGACAGCTTGAGGTTTACATTGTCAAATAGTGAAAGATAATCTTTATCTGGCTTATACATTAGGGTGCATCGCTTAGTACCATAATTTATGAAAATCACTATTTTTCGAAGCACGTACTCATATTCTTATGTAAAATTAAATTTTAATTTGAGTTTCCTTTTAGTGTTTTTTAATTTGAAAACGTTTTGATAGTACAATTGACACTTTTAGTATGCAATATATCATTACTTATAACATTTTTAATTTTTTTAGAAAAGTGTAAACTACAAATTATTTTATTTTTATACTTATGTCAAATAGCGTTGTTTTGTCAGAAACTGATTAAGCTTTCTTAATGATAAGAGCCTAGGAACACCCTCCCCCTCCCTTCCCTGGCCTACCTCTGAACAAATAAATTTATGTCATCGTCCCAAATGTAGGGGAAAGAATTTTTAATCTAAAATTTACTCAACCTCATATTTTTTAATTTGTTAAAAGGTTTAAAAGTATTTTCAAAACTATTTTTTGTTAAATATTTTATTAAAAAAAGTACATCTCATTTGAAAGCGGTTTTCAAGTTTTACAGGTTTAAGTTTTGAATAAAAGATGAAAAAGATACAAAATATACAATTTTGTTTTATTTCTTAGTTAAATTATTTCAAGAACATCTTTCTTTGATTTAAAGGTGGGAATTTCTTCTCTGTGTATCATTCTTGTTCTAACAAATCCATCTCTTCTTTCTTGGCCGTAAACAATGGCAGATGCTTCCGTCATACTTTTGACGCAGCATTCTGTTGCTTGAGTGTGAATGCTGAATTTAGGAATTTTCAATGGATTTTCAACAAATTTGGAGATCTCCTCTTTAGAAAGATTACATGTAAATAATGGCTCATAACAATCTTTTACATTTCAAGAAATTAATTCTTGAAGAATAGTACCGTCAAGGTTAATTTTTGGAGACATTCTTTTTCGAAACAGCAGTGTCTCCAAGCTCATTATTTCCTCTAGTTTTTAAAACCTTATCAATACCAAACTCTCTTTCATTTTTATTAGAGCTAGTCAAGATTGAAACCAGAATACACTCACTATGGCTGTACCAAGCCCCAGTTCGTATATAAGATGTAATAATATTCGACACATTGACTGGGAGTGTCTTAAGAATTTTAAGTTCAAGCAAGATATGTCTTGGTCCGTCCTCCAGCAGATATTTGGAAGAAATTTAAAAATAAAGTTTGAAACACATTTTGACACAAAAACTGAACTAATATCTTTAAAATCTCCAGCTCACTGTATTTAAGGTTATGGTTTCTTGTCCACAAAAACACCAAAGTCATACCTGTTGTAAGCCAGCGAGAATGAGACAGTGATCTACATTTTAGATTTGCGAGATCCGGAGAAAGTTTTCCTGACTTGATAGCATTTACATATCTGTAACTGATATAAGCATCAGTAGATAAACTTTTTATATCTTTCTCATCAAGTTTTGGAAGCTCCTCTTCATCTGCAGGAGTTTAAAATTGAAATTTATTGTCATATCATTTACTAACTGATTTTTGTAAACTGATCCTGTAAATCTGTCTTTGCTACTTGTCGGACCATCAAGAGATATAATTAAATGTTGTAGCTTGAGTTCATTTGTATATTTCATGCAAATTGCTCAATAGCATTTATGTCCTAACATTTTTTCAAGATGGGCATGAATTCTTACTGACCATCCTGTGTTGATATTAGTTGAATCTCCACCTATTACTATGCATGACTCAGTAGCATTGTTTTTTTTCAAGTACCTCATAGAGTGCTTCAGCTATCTTTTTTGCATGTGTGTACTGATGAAGGGCAAGTTCTGGCGTGATGTCAGCAAGATAACATCCAGTTGGCCCCCAAGTTACACTTATATGGTCTTCTTTTATGACTCTAGGTTGAGGTCCGTATTTATCTGGAATTAATGTTTTGGTCTAGTCTTTTCTTTCATCATAAGCAATTCCAATTATATTTTCGTTACTACATTTATTAGCTTCAATAATTGTTTTTTCTTTCATTACATTATTCTTAGCCCTTTGCATTTTATTAGGGTCAACAGAAAGGTATGACATACCAGGAGAAAGATAACTTGCAGCTATAAAATCTTTTATTTTACCAGTGATTATAGCTGCTGCACCAACATTAGAAATATTATATCTTAATGCAGCTGATGCCGCATGTGTTATGGAAATTTTTATTTGCTTTAGACTTGGTTTTTTTAAGTATCTTGTAACCAGTAATGTCAATCTTCCTAGTTTTTCTTCAAGCAACTTGTCGACCAAAATTTTTGTTTTGTTATTTAGTTGTGCAGTATTTACATTGTATGTATTATCAGTATCATCAATACCATTGTTGTTTTCTTCCAGCAGATTGAAAACTAGTTCAGGATTCTAAATTGTTTAAATATGCAGTTTCTATAATATAATATTATTACTTACCAATATTGGTAAGTAATATTATATATAATAGAATATATAAATTTTAAATTTAAAAAAGTTTAGTATATATTAAACATTAAAAAGTTAGTTTTAAAGTCTTTTTTAGATTGTGGTAAGAAACGTTTTATAACAATTAAAGAATTATATTCATGGTAATTTAGTTAACCTAAAATTTATCAAACTCATATTTTCTTTCATTTTCTTTTTTTCCCTTTTTCTTTCAGCTTCTTCCTGAATGTTTTTCCTTTTTTCTCTTCTCTGTAGGCAAACCGATTCTTTATAATCACATAAACCAATTTGCATAGTAGAAATCTCTTTCTTTTTAAGCCTCTGATTACGAAGCCAAAGAAGATCAAGTACAGGAATTTTTTGTAATAGAGGGCATGAACAATAAACATGTGGACCTAATTAGCAGTTTTCGGGATCATTGCAAAATAATGCTGCCTCTGTGCATATAATGATTGTATGAGTACATGATATGATATCAAAGAGACTATCTAGGTCATTAGTTATTTTGTTGGTTGCTTCTTTAGATGGTTTTGCGTTTTTTAAAAACTTGGATATTTTAAACCATAATTTTATTATTTTTTCAGCGAGTGATTTTTCCGAAATTGTAACTGGTGGTTTAAACAGACTATTTGCTTTGAACTATTGAGCTGTCACCAGTTTAGCAAGTTCTCTGCTTAGTTCTTTTGTAGCAAAATTATGTTATACTTTAGAAGTTAAAAAATAAATAAAAGCTAACCTTTAGAAAAATACCCATTTGAATTACTGATCTTTTTGTGGGTACCTCCGACAAAACAAACTCTTTACCTTTTCCAACAAAATTAGACAATTTAGTTGCTAAACTATGTCCAGTTTTCACATTCGATGTATAATTATTCATTGTTAGTACTGTTATTAAAAATAAAAAAATAATACACAGTATTAAAAAGTATTTGCTAGAAGACAAAATTAGTATTATTATTAAGCCCCGAAAAGGATAAGTAAGTATTTCTCACCAAGGTAAGTATTACTCACCTTGAGAATTATACAGTTGTTACAACACATTCTTAAAAAACAGGTAATTATTTACAATAAACTATAAAATGCACAACTAAAAGTCTCAATTGCCCTACCAAAACATTTTCAAATTAAAAAACACAAAAAAGAAACTCAAATTAAAATTTAATTTTACATAGGAATATCAGTACGCTGTATTATTTTAATCATAATGATTTTAGCGATGTACCCTATTATACATGCCAGGGTAAACCTTACAGGGTAAGGGGTAAAAAATTGCCTGACAACTTATAGACAACTCCTATATACATTATAAAAAATATATTACATACATTACAAAAAATATATTATATACATTATAACAAATATATTTATATATTAAAAATATATAAATATGTTATATACATTATAAAAAATATATTTATATATTAAAAATATATAAATATGTTGTTCACATTATAACAAATATATTTATATATTAAAAATATATAAATATGTTATATATACATTATAACAAATATATTTATATATTAAAGATATATAAATATGTTAAATTCATTATAACAAATATATTTATATATTAAAAATATATAAATATGTATATGTTAAATACATTATAACAAATATATCACTTGAATACCAATAAAATGTTTGTGCAACAGCATTAAACTTGAAACATTCAAAAAAAAATTTATTCTTATATTTTATTTTTATTTATCTTGTTATTTTTAGGACCTGGCATGATGCTTACAGTTTTAAAAGAATTGCAGGTTGTTTTTAATATTGGTAAAAAAGAAAAAATTAAAAATGATATTTATTAAATGCTTTTTTTATGATAATATTTTTATGTCTGTAATTTACCTTGTCTTGATTTTTAGTTAGAATGTGACCTTCAAGCAAAATATATCTTAGAACAGTTTTTCATTTCAAGAAGTTTTCAAAAAGTAGTATGTAAAAATTTTATTTGGGATATAGTTTTCCTGCAATTTTTATTTTAATTTCTATTGTGCTCTCATTGTAGATTATACTTTGTTCCTATTGTATTATTTTTTCAATATAATTAACACTAAGCTGTAGAATTCATTGTGTTTTTATTAAAGGTTTTTCTTTTAATTTTAAATCATCTAATGTTTACATTGTGTTCTAGTTATGTTTTATTTTCTAAATATGTGTCTAATTTTATTTTAAAATGTTGTTTCCTTACTTATGTTATTACATATACACAATTACACATTTACTTGAATAATGCAACTGTAGTTATTATTCAGACTAAATGTTAGCTAAGTCTAATTTATGCTAAATTTATAAAATTATTTTTTTGGTTTTTAGTGCGAAAATCTAACTAAAACCTCTGATAAGCAGAAAGGATCGGACATTAAAGAAAGGTATATGTAATATAGGTTTAGATTATTAAATATTTTATTTAGGTTTTTGTTGTTTTTTTATTTTGAAAAGAAATTTTAGATAAACATTATCTCAAATTTTAGGGTGGACCCAAAGGATTTGGATCTGCTTTTAGGTGAAATAGTTCTTTTTAGTGCCAGAGCAGAAATTTATCATGCATTTTTAAATAAAAGAATACAAGTAAGTTTGTTTAATATTAATATTCTATTAATTTATTTTTAAATATTTTTAGTATAACAACACACAAATATTAAAAAAATGTTATAGTCATATTCAATTTAATTTAAAACATTTTTTGCATCTTGATAATTTTGGTGATTATGTACAAGTTTTATTTTGTTTTATATTAACTATTTAGTGCTGGAATTATTTATGGGAAAAGGGAGTCACTTTTGAGCAGTTGATTATAAAAATATTTTTATAAATATCTTTTTTTAATTTTTTTACATTAGTTTTTTAATGTTTAAAAAATTGTAAATTTTAAGATAATTAATGATTCTTAACCCAAACAATGCGAAAGTGGAAACAATGTGAAAACCGAAACAATGGAAAACTAAAACAACAAATGCTGCGATACAATTTCAGAGACTAATAACTTAGGTGCAAATTACTATGGATAGTAACAATAATTATTGTTATTATTCAATTAAATATTCGTGCTTGAGAGAAAATAATGTTAAAGATTAAGAATGTTGATTTGATATGTTACTATAAAACTTAATAATTAATGACTTTTGAGAGTACAACATATGTTAAAGAAATATTCTAAAAACATGTTAAGTCTTTGAGAAGAGTGCAACATGTTGAAGACAATTATCACAAGACTTAAAAAACCTAAAATGACTTACAAAAACACTGTGTTAAGTGGAAGGGGTTGGTTACAGGAGATATTGTTAAATTACTGTAAAATAGGTTTTAGTAACCACAAGAGTTTTGGTTGATGGATCATGGTATGATAGCTTGCTTGAGCGGTGGTCATGGTAGTATTTAAAGAAAAGAGATTGAGATTCAACCATAATAAAATGGAAGAGAAGCACAGTTAGAGTAAGTTCAACTATAATTTGTTTTTGAAGTTTAAATGAGAAAAAGTGTCATTAGAAGAACAGGCAAAATATAACAACAACATTCTATACAAGTATGAAAAATTGGTTTATAGAAGTAGAGAATGGATTTTGTGTCTTTGTCAAAAAGAGTATCTTTAGAGGTTTAATTATTAAGGAGATTATAATTATAGATAAGAGATAACACTCTTTTCTATAATATTAAATATAAGAGAACTGTGTTGTTTGGATGAAACCTTGTGGTACCCCAGAAGTTACTGATATTATACAAAGACAACTTTATTACTGTAAGTTAATACTTCGAAAAGAATGATTTTGCTTTTATGTAATTCACGATAAAACTTTAAACTGTTAACATATTAACAGTAGACCAAGGATTAAAATCTATACTGATTGTCAAAATGTAAGTTGTTAAAATTAAGATGAGATTTTAGAAGTTTTTTTTTTTAAATGTTGTACTTCATTGCTGTTTAAAATAAGCTTGTTTGTACTGCATTGTGATATGTTCAGGAGAATATTCAGTTATGGTTTTACTGCATTTAAGCAAAGTTAAAAACTTTTATCAATTTTATTTATCATAGTGTTTTATTCCTTTATCAATTTTATTTATCATAGTGTTTTATTCTTTTATCAATTTTATTTATCATAGTGTTTTATTCTTTTATTAATTTTATTTATCATAGTGTTATTTTAAATGTTTGATAAAATAAAAAAGTAGCCTCCTCAACTGTAGTGGTCCCCTCAACCTTGGAAAGGTGAATAACATTAAAAAATCCACCAATAATTTTTTTTTTATAATTATTCTAAATTAAAAATTACAAGTCAAAATTATTACTTTTTTTGTACTTGTCTGAAGATTGTTAAAGATGATTTATTTGATTTGATGTCTAAAGATTCAAGAAGATTTTTTTACTTAGAATGATCTTGATGTGATACACAATGGAAAACCTAGTGGTATGTTTCATTACTTACTTTCATTGTTTTTCATTTTATGTTTAATAACACATAATCAGTTATAATAATAAATATAAAACATATTTTATATTAATAATTAAAAAACATGTAAAATATCAAATATGCAAATAGAATATTTGCATAATAAAAAAATTAAAAAGTTTTTAGTTTTTTTTTTAACGAGGTTAATGGTTTTTATCTTTTATGTTTTATATTTTTTGGTTTGCTACATATTTTTAGCTTTTATGACAAATTCTTTGCTCTCACTAAACATCTGTTTCTTTGCCTTTGTTTCTTTTACTTATGCTCATTGACAGAATTTTTCTGAATATATTTCATATTTTTCTGCATTTCTTTTATTGTTTATTCTAGCAACAAAAAAAACACAGCACAACACATAAAAACATATTCATTTATCTTTTCGGAGATTGAGAATGTTTTTTGACTAATGAGCAATTACTTTTATTAAACACAAATAGAGATATTTTTTGATTACATACTTATGCTATAAATCATTTTTCAACTATTAAAATTAAATATTTTTTTCTGATCTTTTATATTCTATTTTCTGCATATAAGTACTACTCAAATTTTTTTAAGTTTGTGTTTGGCTTTGCTTTTTACATGTTTTTGTTTGATTTAATTCTCAATGTTGTGTATGACATGCAATTACATCATACTTACCTTCACATATGAATTATGGGAAGTTTGTATACCTAGGGCTGGAATTTGGGCTTTTTTAATGCCCAAATTCAAGGCTTCAGAATTGTCTAAAAATGCTAAAACTGGTATGATCTCTATACTAATTACTTTATTTTAGTATAAGTATTTTATAAAAGGTGAGATAAAAATACTGAAATAAAAATATTAACTGAGATAAAATTATAAAATGAGATAAAAATACTGAGATAAAAGTATTAAGTAAGATAAATAAAACTGGTATGATCTCTATACTAATTACTTTATATTAGTATAAGTATTTTATAAAAGGTGAGATAAAAATACTGAGATAAAAATATTAACTGAGATAAAATTATAAAATGAGATAAAAATACTGAGATAAAAGTATTAAGTAAGATAAATAAAACTGGTATGATCTCTATACTAATTACTTTATTTTAGTATAAGTATTTTATAAAAGGTGAGATAAAAATACTGAGATAAAAATATTAACTGAGATAAAATTATAAAATGAGATAAAAATACTGAGATAAAAGTATTAAGTAAGATAAATAAAACTGGTATGATCTCTATACTAATTACTTTATATTAGTATAAGTATTTTATAAAAGGTGAGATAAAAATACTGAGATAAAAATATTAACTGAGATAAAATTATAAAATGAGATAAAAATACTGAGATAAAAGTATTAAGTAAGATAAATAAAACTGGTATGATCTCTATACTAATTACTTTATTTTAGTATAAGTATTTTATAAAAGGTGAGATAAAAATACTGAGATAAAAATATTAACTGAGATAAAATTATAAAATGAGATAAAAATACTGAGATAAAAGTATTAAGTAAGATAAATAAAACTGGTATGATCTCTATACTAATTACTTTATTTTAGTATAAGTATAATTTTATAAAAGTCTGACAAGTAAAAGTGTTTAAAAATTAATTGTCCTAGGTACTATAATTTTTTTTTAACTGTACCTAAGGCCACTAGCTATTGTATCTAGGGCTGCTCTCTGAAAATTAGGTTTAACTTCATAATAAAATGACTATAAAGATAGACACATAAATTTGATTAAAAATTTGTTTTATCTTAGATTGTCAACAAATTTATCTAGTGTTACTTGATTGGTTAATAACAAAATTGACTAATAGTTCTGAGCAAAATTGAAAAATAAGTTTACGCAGAATAATGGTTGTCCCAAAATAACAGCCATAAAAAAAAATTCTGCACCAATCAAAATTCAATAATCTACCTCGTTATCAAGCAAATTCTTTACGTACATATGGTCCTAGGTACAAGCAGGGGTGTGGTGGCCCCAGAGACTATGTGGGATTCCTGCATAGGGTTTTCATTTTTTTATTTAAATATGGGCTTTTTAGTACTTTTTAATCCAAGTATGGGCCTTAAAACAATTTTTACTTTTTTTGACATCATGAAAAAAATATTTATTTTTAAAATAAAAACAACTAAATAGCATTTTCAGAAAAATATGAAATATTTTTTAATTAAATAACTACTATATATTTTTTATATTTAAGGTATGAGCGCTGTAGTGTATTAATGCCTTGCAAAAATGCTAGTTAAAATGCAAAATTAAACAAAATCTATCGTTAAAAAAAAGTTTCTTATTATTCAAAAAAAAAAAAAAAAATTTTTTTTTTAATATATAATTTAATACAATTTATATTATGTTTCATAATAAAACTAAAACCTTTGATTTTTAATTTTGTTTTATTGGTTATACTTCAAACAGTAAAATAAAAATCGTATTTAGTTACAATAACTTAGCTGCAAAGTTGTATTTTAAGGAAATCAAAATATTTTTAGTTTTGAAGTATTACAAACCTCAACCTGTTGGTTTTTATTATAAACTTCAACTTATTGGTGTATTTTGACGTTTTATTTGAATATAGTCAGTTTTTCTGTGATATTTTAGTTATATACTCAAGTTTGCATAGATGAGTGTTTGACTTTTTGAAAATCCCATAAATTTTTTCCATGAAATCAAGGAAAATTATTTAATTAAAAATTGATTGTTTTACAGGGTTATTCATATATGCCCGTCTATCGATTTTTATATGCGTGTTAATTCATTCTTATATGTACATTTATTCATTTAATTCATTTATTTATTTAATAATGTAATAATGTAATAAAATTAAACAAAGACCTAATACTAAATAAACTATCATACCTAATACTAAATAAACCATCATGGAATGTAAGAAGTCTTTGTTTTAAGTATTTCTAACCTCGTTTACCAGGAAATATAAAAAATTTGTTTTAAAATAAGTAAATATTTTTTTTTTCTTCTTATTGCTTTTTTAAAACGCATATAAGAATGAATAAGTATGCATATAAAACTGAATAAACGCGCATATAAGAATGAATAACCCTGTAACAGACAACAAAAACTTTCGTAAACTTTTAAGATGGAATTTAGAATATTTAACTTTTTACAAAAAGGAATTTCTAATATTTGAAAAAGTTAATTTGAATGAATTAAAAAGCAAAACAAAAAAGTAAAAAAATGGTTACAAAAATTAATCTCGTAAAAATTTGGATTATAGAAAACATTTGTTTAAATGCAAAAATTTCTAGAAAATTAAAAGTGAATTTCCGGAATTGCGGGAATTCCCGGAAAAAACTCATCTTTGAGTTTGGCGGACATGTCCGATAAAAACTTAAAAAATGCAATCAAGCCATAGTTTCAAGAAATATTTATTTTTATGACATCGAAACCCATTTTAAACCACGCTTAAAATATTTTGTTGTTTCAACTTGACCACAACAGTTTGTTTTAATAACTTAAGGCATTTCAAAAATGGGTTATATTTTGAAGCTATTAGAAAATAAAAAGAAAATTTAAAAGATAATTTATATAAAGAGAGGAAATCTTGAAGAATAAGAAAAAATTTAAGCTCAAAAAAGTAAAATTGGAAAAGAAAAATTATTTATACTACTTTTTTAAAAAATACCATTCTATGCGAAAAGTTTTGTAAATTATTATAAATATATACATAAATAGTTATGTTTACTCATTACTTTATTAAATAAAGTAACAAATTAATTTTAATGATTGTTTACAATAAACTCATTTTAATCAAATCATCAAAGAATAATTAATTACTTTTATATAAATATGACATTTATATAAAAGTAATTACGTAATACACATATCTTACGTATAAATATTCTAAAAAATATTTTTTGATAAATCTTTTTCTATTATTACTTTTATAAACACTTTTGATAGCGAAAAACTTTAGCACAACAGCAAACGTTATGTAATAACTCAAATTTAATAGTGTAATGAACATGACTCAATTTTAATAGAAACAATACTGGTTTCTATAAGCACCAAAAAACAATTACATTAAAGTTTTTATAAAATAAGTTTAAGAGGGGTTTTAAAAGCTAAAATGTTTGTTTAAAATTTATAAAAACTGTCAGACAAAAAATAAAACAAATACTGAAATATATATTTAAAATAATAATTAATTAAAATAGTATAAATAATTAATTGCAACGTTTTAATTTAAATTATAAAAACTGGTTTTTTTAATTAAAAAGTTTAATTAAAAAAAAAATTAAACGCTCAGGTGTCTTTTAAAAAATAAATTAGCTCAAAAAAATGACATATTTTGTTAACGTAGTTTCATTTTCTGTTTAGTATAAAAAATAAAAAGTTTAAAAAATGAAGTTTATATGCATTACTGAAATTTATTAATAGTTTTGAAACAACTGAAATAACTATAAAATAAACGCACACAAAATATCGGTCGGACAAAATGACAGATAGATATCATTTTTACCGGGCAAGTGCTGGGAATGTATAGGCCTTTTCATTCATTATGTATGGTAAAATCCCGTATATAAAGGCTTTTTTAATAAAATCCTGCATGGCCTTTTACAGCCACCACGTTCCTGGGTACAAGCAAACTATATGGCTCTAGGTACAAGAAATCATAGCCTCATGAAATATATCATTTATTAGCAAACCCCGATTGAGAGGAAACTTGTTAAACATAGCATTTAGTACATAAGTAACAAACAATATAATATACAAGAACTTATAGAAAAGCATTTTTTCTAGGATTGTTAAATAATCTAAGATATCAGCGGCAAAAACTTACTTAATACCATCAAATAGCGTTTTCCAATTATAACTTGCTGTAGCAACTCTTTCTGAGAATCAAAATAGGATAAAAAAATAAAAATTTTTATAACTTATTACCTTACTGAGAAGCAGAAATTAGATCTTTATAGTTCTCAAATAAAGTGGGGTTGCCCTAGGTACAAGGAGGCCCTAGGTATTCTTCCCCTTTATATTAGTGTTTTTAAAAACAACCTTTATTTTTGTGAATACATGTTCTTTAACCATCAAATGTGTTCTATATAATAAAATAATACTGGAATTGTTTGTGAATAAAAAATAATTTTAGGGGTTGCTCAGGCCTTCTAAACATCAGACAGGTTCCTAAATTTGGTTTTAAAAAAATTATTTAAAATTATGTCATGTTTGAACTCAAAAAAAGCGAAATTATATGAAAAATTGAAAAATAATAATTACTTTATATACAGATTATTTTAGATTTTATTGCATAAACACTATTTTTTAACATAAAATTAAAAAAAAATTTTTTCAATGCTTTTAAAAAATTTTTTTTTTCTGAATTGTTTTTATAAAAAATGATGATTATTTTTTTATAAAATTATTTTTTTATGATATCAGGGACCTGTCTGATATTTAAGGGTATTGAGCAATCTCAAAAAATATTTTTTAATTAAAACTTTTTTTAATTCAGTATTATTCTATTATGTAAAACACATTTAGGGGTTGGAGAACACCTTTTAAAAAATATATTTTTTTTAAGATACTCCCTAATATGTAAGTACTAAATTTTTAATTAAAATTTATAGTTATAATTAATATATAAGTGCTATATTTATAATTGCACATAAATTTAGTTTCTTAGTTTTGTAACGTAAATATTTGGTTACATCTTGCATATAAAAATATCCTTAAGGAACCATTCATTTTGGGATCCATTAATTTTTAGCTTCATACTCTAAAGTTTATAGTCTAAAATTGTGAAGATAACACCTAGGTAGATGCCAGTTGTAAATTAGAGACAATGGAATTCTATTGTGTCTGTTCACAATGGAATTCTATTGTGGACAATTTTAAAAGTTGAAAATAGTTTCCTTTTTCTTTTTTTCTTTCAGACTCATTTTAGTAGTATATACAGCTATAAAATGTGGTGTAATGGTGGTTTAAAAGATGTGGTGTAATGATGGTTTAAAAGATGTGGTGTAATGGTAGTGTAATGTTGGTGTATAAGATGTGGTGTAATGATAGTATGTAAGATGTGGTGTAATGGTGGTATATAAGAAGAGGTGTAATGTTGGTGTATTAGATGTGTAATGGTCGTGTATAGGATGTGCTCTAGAGTATTAGGTGATTGCTGAAACGCTTTATCATGGCTCTGACAAGAGAAAAAAAAAAAAAATTTATTAACCCCTTTTAATCACCAAGATGACACAACTGTACTCCTCAAGAGAATCTTTACTGCCACTTTAGAAAATCTGATTTTAGCAACATATTTTTCATATTTCCATAATTTGTTACATTTTATTTTTCCTTTTTGCATTGTTTTGAGTCTTAATCAATAAGATTATCGGTTTTCATCATAGCTATGTTTTGTCTAATTTTTCAGATTTTAGTTTGTTACATAAAGCTATACTTCAAAAATAACTTGACAATGTTGTTGACAATGACTTGTAAATATATTTTCCTTCTGAACATCTGTGTGTTTTTCATTGTTTATCCTTGTGCATCTTCTTTGATAGATTTTTATTCATAAGTATTTTATATTTCTATGCAAGTTTTTATTTCTATGTGAGTTTTTATTGGTCGATCTATTCTTAGCAATTCACATCTCCCACATCACAAAAACAAAAAGAAAAATGGAAACTAGAATAATAGAATTTTAAATAAACTAGAAAAATTTAAATAATTTTGAAAAATATTAATTGAGAAAATTTTTTTTTCTTCAGAAAATGAATTTTATGATGTTTATTTGAAGAGTGGATTATGTCGTAGCATAGAAACATTAATGAGTGATTACATTGTCATGGAAAGTTATTTCATGAAGCAGATGATGTTAAAGGTGAGCTGTAAATTTTTATAAATGAATCAAAAAGTTTTAAAACCTTTTATAATGTTGATTCAATTTTTATGGCCAATAATATTTAGTGTAAAAAAAGTTTTTTAAACAATTTTCAGAACTTGCACAATAAGAATTGAAAAAAATTTTTTTAGCCATAAAAGATTTTTTTTTACCTATATACTGACTGGCAACACCCGACACCCTGACACCCATCAGTCTGTTAGTAATACTTATTTTCTTCTGTTCTTAACAGATACTACCTGGCCACACTCTAACTCATCAGTCTTTGTTAATAATGCTCATTTTCTTTTAAAATACATATTTATTACCTGACCACACTGTAACCCATTGTTTTTGGCCATTGTTTTTTTTAATTAATGCTCATTTTATGTATGCAAGTATATCTGTGTATAACTAGGCAATTACAATGGATATGAGTGACAGAGATTCAATTACTTCAAGTGCTGTAGATGATATATTCTTTGTGCTCCAAAAGTGTCTAAGGTTTGTTTCATTTTTATTTATAAAATTTTTTTTTTTTTGCAAATACTTTAAAATTTATTTTTAATCGATTTTTTTTATTATTTGTTTAACTGTTTACTTCTATAAAAAAATTTTTTGTTTACATTGAGTTTATTCTTGAATATCATTGTTTTTGAGAAATCAGTGAATAAAATTTTGCTTATTTATTTTATTGTCAATTTTTGACAGGGTTCTCAATCTTTGTTATTTAAATAATAGATCTTTTTGGGTTTAAGTTGACCAATTTTCACTTTAACTTGGTATTTTTTCAATTTAATTTAACAAATTATAATGAAAATTGACAAATTAAAATTAAAAAATGCCAAATTAAAGTGAAAATTGACCAACTTAACCTACTGCTACTATTTTCATTTTAATTTGGCATTTCTTCATTTTAATTTAGCAATTTTCACTTTAATTTGTAAAGTGAAAATTAAAATGAAAAAAATGCCAAACTAAAGAGAAAATTGGCCAACTTAAACGCAAAAATGTGTAAGTAAACAATATTGAATTAGGACAAAAAGGTATAATGAATAACAGGAAAAAGGTATAACATGTAAGCTATGTTGATATAGAAGTAATTGATATATATGTTGATACTGATGAGTTGGGTATATACAGGTATAGAATGTTGATTCAGGAGGAAAGAGTGTTTACAATTAAAAAGGTTTTCTTACTAATTAATTACATTCATTTAAATCTTATAAATGTAAAGAGTTTTGTTCATACCCATAACAATCTTTTATATATATATATATATATAAAAGATTGATATATTATATATATAAAAGATATATAAAAATATATTATAAAAGATTACATATATATATATATATATATGTAAAAAGATTACATATATATATATATATATATATATATATATATATGTATTTTACATATATATATATATATATATATATATATATATATATATATATATATATATATATATATATATATATATATATATATATATATATATATATATATATATATATGTAAAAAGCTCCACCCACTTTTTTCCAAATTTCAAAAGTTTGAAATCAATAAATGAGTAGATAATAATTAAATTTAACTAAAAAAATAGAACAATAAATTTAAAGAAAATAAAGAACTAAGAACTTTTTGATTTCTTGTAAAAATTCTACATGTCATATACTGAAACTCATATACGTGACCAGGATTGATATTTAACTAAGGTTGGGTATGATAAAATATAGCCAGGGCCTGATCAGGGGTCGGCTTTGTGCCCAGGGCTACATAAACATTGATACATCCTAAAGTATTAAAAATTTTATATTTTGTATGTATGAGTATATGTATCATTATGATCATTGCCATCATTATGATCATGATCATCATTATCATATTAACATATTTATCATTACCACTATCATGATCATGAT